AAACTGTGGTATTATTTTCAGCCAGGTATTAATTTTTAATAAATATAGGCTCAAATGGTTATAGATATCTCAAAAACACATTTCTGAATTTATAAACTGTTAATATAAACAAATTTATTTATTAAAAGTGATGTTTTGGGAGGGTGGTGAACACCAAGCTCCAAAAGAATTAATTCAATTATATGCTTTGTAGACTACCTGGTAACATACATTTTATCCAAATGATATGTGACTGGAAGACAATTTCCATGGCGAAGTGGGGGAATGCTGGAGTACTCAGAACTATACATATGTCCATTCTAATATGCCCCAAAGCTTCAAAAACATGTATCAAAGGAGTTGGATTTTAATTTATTGAGGTTCTACCATGTGCTACAATGGTTTACATTAAGCACATTATTTCACTTCACCCTCTCAACTATCTTGTGGAAGGAGTATGATTATCTCCATTTACAAATGAATGCACTGAAAACTGCAGAGCCATGGCCACACACTTGGAAAGTGGAACAGCAGAGACTAGAACCTAGTCTGTCTAATCTCTGAGTCTGTTTGATCTTTCCACTAAATAATGCTTTTATGGTATCTTCAACAGGTGGCACTAAATTCTACTTTATTTCTACCTGATCTCCATTAAAAAATAGTTTTCAAACACTTTAGTTTTCTGTTTCCAGAATCTTATTCATTATTAACTGTTTTATGGAAGCAAACATTTACACAGAGAAAATCTGACAATGAATGTTTCTGAGTTTAAATCATGCTCCTCCAACTGCCCATTCATCTAAATGTGTGGTTTCTTAGAAAAGAGCATCCACGTCCAAATACTAATGCTTTAAAACAAAGGGACCAAAAACAAAACAAAACAAAACAAAACAAACAAAAAAATAACAAAAAACCCACCTTAAATCTACACTTTATAATTGTATGACAGCAAAAGGAATCATACATTTTTTTAGAGCATTACCTTCAATGTACAGGAAAATGTCTTAATCATTCTATCATGCACTGAGCTTCTTGTGAATCGATACCATTAAACACGTATTTATCTCCCATATCACTTAGCGCAATGACCTATACACTGTACCTGAGTGCTGGCTGCATGAGTGAAAGGAGCCAAAAGAAACCTGAAACACCAGAAATTACACTGAATACTTCCTAAAAATAAGTTACCAACAAATATTCGTTACTTTCATTATTTGTTGACAATCATAGTGATAGGCACAGTACACGCATGCAAAGTATTACGCATACAGTAATACCCAACTCCAATCTAGTCCCTGTTATAAGGAGGGGCTAGATGTAGGACATTCATTTTGGAAGGGGATAAAGGCAGCCACGAAAGGGAAATCACACAAGAGGGTCCAGAAAGAACTCTGAAGAGGGCTAAGTAGTAGAATAATTTGAGATGTACTGAAGAATTTTTTTGTTCAGTGTATAAAGGTATCCTTATGAAAATTAATACTGAAAAACAAGAAACCCGTACCACCTTAAAGTTACATATCAAACAATTATTTGGCTGGTTGCTAATAAAACATCTGATCTTGACAGAAAACACTTTAAAGGAAGAATAAATGTTTGAAAATATAGAAAAAAAAAGAATTCTAGAAAGGGAACAATCTGTTCAAAAGATCTAGTTGCATTTCACTCCAATTCAAAATAAGGAACCACAAAATGTTATGTCTAATCATAATGGGCAGGTGATTGAAGAATAAATTCTATCTATGCCCCATGTTTCTAAAGTGGCCATCATTTAAATGTGTATATAAGTGTACAAAAGTGGCATTTCAGAACAAAATATTATAACAAAATTTTGTCTTTGCTTTTCGGGGTAAAGAAACAACTGGAAATTTCTCAAGTAGCCAAGCTCCCCTTTGATTTACATGTAAAATAAAAGCATAAATAACATATAAATTACTTAAAACCTTATTGGTACTTCACTGTTTTCAGAATTCTACAGGTTAGAAAAACAAATGTCTATAGGAAATAAAAACATTAACCACTCATATATTACCTAATTAGATAATCACCAAGTCACAGTATAGAATTAAGAGACTATTTAAAAGTTACATTGTCATTGTATAATCCCACGTATTGTATTGAAAAGGAATGCTGCAGCCTAAAACCCCCACATGTATCGAGGCAAATTCTGCACCTACTAGTTAACTATAAGGAACAGTTCTCTATAAAAATATTATGAAATTGACATTTCCATGTGCTTTTTAATTTATAAACCAGGAATCACAGTAAAAACAGAGATAGGCAAGGACTCACTTAAGCATTAACACAGTCATTTAGAAACCCTCTAAAAACAAGTTTGATTCTGCATTGCATTCTAAAATGCAAATTTAAGAAATAAAACCTTATATACATAACTTACTATATTTGTAAAGTAGCTTTATTCTCTTGTTAATATACAATCTGACTTCCTAAACACATGCAAATGGCCTGAAAAAATACTAAATACATAAGACAGACGTGTAATTTCACAGCTAGATTTGCTTACACATATCCTTGACACCAAAAGCAAGAAAACAAAAGATACTGTCCTGACTAAGGGATCTTATCCCAGTCTCCATTAGCACCCAGAATATGTGCCACTTTGTGGCTTTACTGTAGCTGGCACATTTAATAAGAACTACTCTGTGCCATAAACAAAGGTAATATCTAAATATGAACGTAATTCGATTTTAATTATAAAATTTTATTTGCATTTTGCGTACCGATGCACAATTGTGAATGATTTTTTATGTTATATGCATAGAACCAAAACCTAATAAATGTTTAAGTCTCGTTACCTTTTTCTATTTAATTTGAGCAAATTAATAATCTAAAAAAGTATAGGAACACATTTTGGAGAATTACTGCATTATTCATATGTTATGAATCCTATAGCATTATATTAAATTATGAAACGTTTTTAAAAATGTTCTATGCATTAAAATATATAATTTTCCTTCATTGTGTAATAACTCAAAAATAAATGAGTAAAATAATACTAGTAATAACATATAATAACAGAAAATATAAAATCTATTCACATACTCTGAGTTAATTTTCTAAATGGAAAAGAGCACAGATGATTTTACACTCGGAGGATAAAATTGTGTTTATTAGGGAGCATATTCATATCCTAAGATTTTTGCCAACTGCAAGGCGCCGGGCTTGGTCCAGTGCAAAATACAAAGGGCAAATGGATGAACAGAGGAAAAATCTCTGTGGTAAATGCCACAGAGTAATACAGAAAAGGAGCCATAGGAATTTGGGTAAGGAATACACTGGTTCCAGCTAAAGGAATGAGGGGAGATATACATCCTCTTTGGGGGAGAAGAAAAAATCAAGGAGTTCTATATAGTTACATGGGGGTGACGCAGGGAGAAGAGGTAATTTGTTAATTATCAGTGTTCATGCCCCTTAATTATTATGATTTCCTGAGCTACAAATGGGGCTGGTAAGGTATAAGGGCGAGGATGGGAGAATGAGACTGGCATGGAAATCAACTCCTGCTACAGTAATATCACAAAAATTCTGTAATATTAAAATGACTAAGAAAACCTGAAGTCAACTGGGTTCTAGACAAGCTCCATATAAAGATAGAGCTATGCTTACTGTAGTTAAGAAGGCCCTTTTCTGCACTGTGATAAAAGTTACTTTATCTACTGAGAGGATCCAAACAAAATCTGGAGCTCACAGTAACTCAAGAATGTTAAAATTCCCACAGCAACTTTCAAATTAAAGGAAAAAAACGAGCAGTTATCACTTAACAACATCTCTCAAAAGTCATCAATAATACTGAGTAAATCTTTGCTAGTTTATAGCCTGAAATATACATAATTTAACCTTCCATTAAAGTAGAAGTCTTTCCCCCAAATTATCCAGAGAAACTGCATGCTCACTAGGCCATGTGATATTTCACGATATACAAGCCAGCTATAATAACAAATAACATATATTTGGGGGGAGGATTCAATTCTTTGCCATTATTAAATGGGTTTCATTAGAATGGGAAAAGAGCATGGACACACTTAAAGACACTGTATCTAAGGGGTGTACCATCCATCCTGACATTTTCCAGAGGACCTTTTCACTATAAATAATTTCAAAGAAACTAATTCTTTAAAGGTTGGACACAAAATGATTTTCCTCAATGTTTACGATGTGACTCTACAAATATTTTATGTTTTTGAAATACAAAATCTATCCTTAAACATTAAGATATGAGCTGTCATTTTTTAAAAGACTTTACAGCACAGAGTGCTTTGTTTTTCAGTAGCTATCAGGTAAATTACTGCAAAACTTTGCAGTCAATTATCGGAGGCTGTGAAGGGTTACATTTTAGCCAATAAAGAGCACGAATACAAAGCATATCACGAAGATGCCAGCTGTACGTTTTATATATACACCTTACATTTCTAACAACTATAGTTTAATACAGAATATTTCCTCTTTAACCTATTTTTTTCAATATACCATGATAAAAACTTAGCCAATTAAGGAAACAATAAGCGAAAAAGCTGAACTGTTACTTATCTAAAAAATTGTTGGCATTTTCTCAGCTCTAAATGGTAAAAACTGTTGGTGTCTAGCAAACAAATCTCCCTCTGCCAACAGGAAATCAAAAATGCAAATACCCTAACAAAGCCGGGTAAAAACAGGACATAAACAAATATTTCCAACTGCCACGATCATACACAGAAAATAATACATGTTGTCATAATTTTAATCACCAACAAAGCTGCAGTTCCATTTAACAAACAACTTCCAGTGTCTGACATTTAAGAGAAAAGGCTTAAAATCCATGCTTCACCAGCTCTATGAATATGTCACAACTGCCAATAACAGATACAGCAGCATTTCATTTTATGGTCAAAAGATGCCAGTAAAAATACAGTTATCTAGGACGTATACATATGTGTACAGACACATATATATGCCAACTTCAAATATTTTCAGTATAAAACAAGAAGAAATTGTCAAAGGAGGATATCGTATTTTAAATAACTTACCTTTCGCCCATCACTTGCATGGCAATTCACGTTGAGAGGAGTCAGTAAAGCCATTAGTTTTTCTTCATTACCGCTCCTGTAAAAAGGTAGTGAGTCAATGCCCACAAGATTATAGAGCTTCTTATGAATATTTAGGGTTATTTTTCAGAAGAGTGGAAAATAATATGGCTTTGCTTTGATTTCTTATATATGGCTCTCAATGAATCTCTTTTGGTATATTCAATTAAATTAATATATTCCTAATTAATTCCCATTAATCATCATACAGTGGTACATCTTGGGTAATGTAGCTTTCTACATTTTTATTTGTTTTATTTATTTGCATCAAGTCACCTTAATTACAAACAAACTTTATTCTGATAAGTGATCTAAAACACTGGACTTAAAAATACACACAAAACGATGAAAAAAGCTAACAAATTAAAATAAAAATGACCAAGAACAAAAGAAAATAGATGAGAATTTTAATATTTACTTTACGCCCCCCATTCAAGCTTTGCTAGAAAAAATTTCAGAGAAAAATGAAGAGATAGGTATTTAAATGCTCCAAGAAGATCATCCGAAAAGCTGGGCAACTCAGATCTGCAGGTACCCTAAGAAATGTTTCAAATAAAATCAACCTTATAATCTTTATACTGTTGAAAAACTCTATCATTTAAGACACTAATCATGTAAAATAAAGTATACAGAGACTGAGTATGAGGTCTTATCCGCATTATCACATAAAATCCAAGCAAGACAATAACACGTTATAATTTTTATAGTCCTCCACCTGCCCTCCCCTTTTTCTCCCTTACATGCATTATACTCACTTAAAATGAATGGAATCACTTACCTAGCAGCTTCTAGGAGTTCGTCTTTCTTGTATTCACCTAGATGATTGCAAAATATCATGCTGTTAGCATTTGGCAGAAGACAGATTAAGAAATGCAGTAGGCAGCAAATACAGAATTAAATAGAGAAGAACAGAAAAAGAGAGTCCACACCCCGCTGGGTGATGGAGCCGTGACGTTAGCCAGCTTGTGAAGGCAGCATCACCAGTGCCTTGGAGACGGGCAGCAAACTGACGCAGCTTCTTGTCCAATCCTCAGATGAAGTAGCTTTCTTCAGACAACCAATGAATGCTAAATCTCGTGTCCAGAAACACATTCCCTCTGATAACAGCATGCCAGCTGAAGACAATGTCCCCTCCCCCCTTTCCTATTCAGGCTGTCACAGTATACTTGTGAAGCATAATACATTCTGAGACAAAAGCAAAATAATGTGGCTCTCTAAAGGTACGAATTGCTAGGCTTCAAAAAAAACTCAGTTTTATTGGTAATGACACAGAAAGTTTTTTCAAAAAAAAAAAATTAATTACCACTGCTGAGCATTACAGCAATAGAAAAAAATGTATCAGCATCATGAAGCTTTTGCCTCAATAGGGTAGGTCTGTAGACTAGAAATACGTGAACTCCGTACCAAATGCTATGAACCTCTTGGAGGCAGCGCTCCAAAAACCAAAACAGTGAATACATTCTTAAATGACAGTAATATTCTAACATGCTGCAGGCTTCACACTTTATACTAATTCAAGACAAAATCTTAACAAACAAGAAACCTGAAAATTATTTTTAAAAAATGAGGCTAGGGTCTCTGAGAATAAGCAGATAGCTAACTATTGAGATGTGGGTAATTTTTCTCCCTTCTCTTTTTTAAAACATCACCGGCTGAAATGAGGCATATAATTTAAAACCTTTGATATGCATTTCTTAGAGTATTCAAGATCTAACGAATAAGCTTCTTTTGCAAGCTCAATTGAAGGACAAGGAATTTTAATAATACAGTGTTTGCTCACTCAATAAATAAAAAAGAAGAGCCAGGACTATGATTCAGCTGCAATATGCTGACTCAGTTGGCTATATAATGATAAAAATAATTATACAAAATGTCTAAGCAAACAATTACATGAAAGCAAATATTAAGCATACATATAAGAAATGAAATTTTGGATTAAATGAAAATGTTATCTATTAAGAATTAAGCTTAAATTATTTTAGAAGTCTTATCACTTATAAATATGGATTTCTTTGCATTTTATTTCTATTTTGTTACAGAATGCAGAATATTGATGCAAATACTATAAAGTCACCTAAGGACAACCGAGCCCATGCTTAAATTCCATGACCCATCATTAGCAAATATTCTTTTAAAGTTTGTCTTGTTTCTCAGATTAAGATTACATTAAAATCTCAAAACTGTACACAGTTATTTTCAAATAGGAAAAAGTTATTAAATATCTATTCTCTCCTAAGGGAATTTTATATACCACTAAAGTCATAGATTCAACAATATACACGGATCACGATCATGGAGTTGGTCTTTCCAATTTCCCAAATAATGTATTCAATCCACATTCTTTAACTGATTGAGTTTTAAGACTTATATTACTTTACGTCCCGGCCAATAAGGTTCTTGCCTTCCCAAAGCCAAAGACCTACCTTAACTATATTATTTTAAATATATATTATTTATTATATTATATATATATAATATATATATTATTTTATATATTATATATATTTTAGGTGGCAATACGGGAGTTAGTGAGTCCATTTAAAAAGCTTCTTATGAGGAAAATGGCTAACTCATACCCTCAGATGCCTTAAGAATCAGGAGCAAAGTCAGTCAAATTATGAAACTATCTGTAGAAGTCATTCAGTCAGTCCGCCAACAAACTTTTATTTGAAAGGTATATATGCCGGACTCAAAAACACAGAAGACACTACTATCATCTCGGAACTCTATGAATATTCGCTTATTAAGTGAGACAGACGAACACATGATTCTGGTGGAGTCTGAAAAGGATCTTATGAAACGCTATAAAGAGCTTAAAGCCTACTCTAACTGAGATTTTAGTAAAAGACAGTTAATTGTGGTTCAAGGAAGGTTTCCTGGAAGAGGGGAGATGTGAGGTGATGCTCAGGTGAAAAGGGTGAAGGAGAAGCAACCAAGCAAAGGAAAAGAAATAAGGACGAAACCGTAGTTCCGCAAAGCTGAACCCAAACACTGCAGGGGAATGGGTGAGCAAGGCGTGAGACAGAGCAGGAACAGATCACGAATGGCTCTCTAAGCAAGTTTGAACTTTATTTCAAAACCCATGAGGAAATCATTGAAACACCTTAACAAGGGGAGTGCAAAGTATATTTAAAGACCTGTTAAGTTCTGTAATTATACTTTACTTCAGTGAATGCTGTTGGGGAGAAAAGTGGCCCAAGAGGTAGGGAGGGGGTGGGGAGAGACAATGAATTCTGACACGATTTATATTTTGAGGTAAGTATAGATTCCCTGGTTAACAGTCACAACACATGAAAACTGGGAACAGAAGTACCTACTACTGAAATGTGAGTCACAGCGAAATAGGACTCTAATAAGGTAGAAAATAAAACCGCAAAGTACTTGGGATGTTCCAAGTTCAAATCAGTCTACCTACATATACTTCTCATCAAGTACAGCTTATGGATGTTTTCTCCAAAAGGCACATTTTTACAAAAATGTTATTCCTGCATGGGTAAGATGAAAATAAACCAAAGCTTTCTACAGACAATATATATAAGCACATCCGACAGGCACAGGTATTACAAATGACTTTCTACTTTTACTGTTAGAGACTCTAGTACTTTAATCAGCTTTTCTGCAATACATTCCAGCATCCACTATCTGGTGCCCAAGGACCATAATCCATAAACAGTCGAAGCTATTTTTCAAATGCTACATCTCAGGAACAACCAACAGTGAATTTAGAGTCCCTCGTATATGCTGACAACAAATCTGAGCTACTTACTTAACAGCCAAACCACTAGTTCTGTTTCATTTTAGCTGCGACTCTGAAAATATTCTGGCTGAGACTACAGTGCTCGATGGAGCATTTATATTCTTTAATAACATTCAGATAAAGGCTAGCAATAGATCAGCCAGAAAGGAAACTAGGTAATTATAGTCAAAATAATAGCAGCCAGGAATGCTGAAAATAAATGGCCTCTATTTTTCTTTGATTAGAATAAAATATGTGGGCTTAAAAAAAGAAGCAAGGCACAAAGTTTACTTTTCAAAGTCTGAATTGCTTTTTTATTAGTAAACTAGTGACAGGATATATGTAAGAATAAACACACACACACACACACACACACAGGGGGAGGTTTGAGTCAATGTGTTAAGGAGGTATGCTATCAGAAAGCTTTAAAAAAAAGGTTAAAAAAATAATGGTTAAAAATGAAACTCCCCTTTCCATTTTTCTGAGGTAGTTAGGAAAAAACTTCTCTTTTTACCTAGTGTGAAGGTGAAATCACTTTTTGAATAAAAATGAAGAAGACTTACATCAATAGAGGAGTCATAATTATTGACAACTCAGTTTCAACATTTTAAAGTGCTTTTGCCTCCTTCTTCGGCAAATGACAGGATCAAAGTAGCCTTAGTTTTGTAAAACTGAGTCTTTTGGTTTTGTTGAGGTGAAACAGCATGAAAATATTATGAATACAGAATCATAAAATCTTAGAGCAATGAGGGACTCAAAAAGGATTATGACTTTTCTCTACTTTGAAGCCATGTACAATAATACATGCCTATAGTAACATCTTCTTAGATGCAATGAGAGGAATGTAATTTGAAAGTCACCTTTCTTCTGTCACCTCACCTCCAATTTCAGAATCATTCTCCTAAGGGATCATCTGCGACATATTTGTTTACAGTTAATGAAATTGACACTGAAGCAGTTAAATGAATTGTTTACAGGTTTACTGAGCATTATTCATGATCTGTCAGGCCCTAAAAAAGGCTAATATGTGAACACAAACCAACCAGATCTGAATTCTAAAAGACAGATATAAATAAGAGAGTAACAAAAAAATAGTGATAAAGCTATTTTAAAAACAACAATAACCAGCTTTAAACTAGTGTAACTTCTTTATATTACATAAGCTAAATATTTCCAACAAAACCATTTTAAAGCATTTGAACTTTCATATGAGCTTGTAAAACAAGAACCAAAAAAATGTATAAAGGGCTTAACCTTTTAGTTTGTTTTAACATTGTGGACCAAGGGAGGAGAAGAGAAAAATTCATTCTGGGTCTGTTCAAATGATCAATACATCTGGCATTTTCTATAGCACGCTTTAATTCCTCCTGCTTTAGATATCTCAAGAACTATGTAAAGACTTTAATCAATCATCTCAGTTATCAGGACCCTTACATAGCTGAGTACTAAACAGTACCATGAATTGATAATTCTCACAGAGATATTTCCTCATCAAGGTACCAACAAATGTAAGAGATGAACAGACTCTTGCAGCTCACCTGACAGCCCATATGGGGAATAAAATATTTATTTAGATGACAAACACCACTGTATTTTCACTAGTAGATTTGAAAATTTAGAACCGACTATGTTGGTTATGGAAGGAATTTCACTACCACACCAGGAAATAATCTAATCTCAAGAAGCTAAAGCTATAGGTCTTCCACCAAAAGCAATTTTCAGACAGGCTGCTATTCTACTATAATAAACTCCAGGAATTCTTGAATCATTTTTTCTTTCTGAAATCTTTCATAAATATTTTCAGGACAACTGGGGAAAAATTACAAAGTTATCAGAGTTCTCAATGCCTTCCTCCTGCTTCTGAATCTTACCAGTCTTCCACTCATTCTGATGCTGCATTCAAAGTCCATACTTAAGTCCAGAATCACGGTCAAACTAAACACTCCACAACCATTCTAAACACAGAATCATTGGGAGTTTTCAAATTCTAGGCTTAAACAGAGTATTTTCCTAATGGAGCTCCTTTTCTTCTTTTGCCTCCTATAACTGACCTTTTCAATTAGCCAATATTAGCTACCA